TCATTTATACAAAATGAACATTTTGTTGGTTTATTTGCAATTGGTCCATTTCATTCCGAATGCAAGTAGTTGTAGGTCTTCATGATGTCTTTTAATACATATTAGTATAAAAAAATGAAGTTTGGACCTATATAAGCAAACTAATAATCTTCATTTCAAGCCAAATCAAATTAAAATTCATATGCTTTATAAATGCTTTCTAAATTGTAAACCAAATTGATAAATACAACTACTTGTAAATGTCAAGATGAACAAACACCAATAATGTGAAAACAAGGAAGTCGAAGAGCTTGAAATTCCCCACAATCACACCACCATTAATTTAATCAAACTGTGTAGGTTATTGATCTTCAAAGATGTTGGGGATTTGATTGGTCTTGAATATTAAACTCAAAATGTTCTTGATTGTACCTTTGACCATGACACATTCGAGAACGTTGTTCATTTTCTTTAAGTGTAGTAATATTTTTGGATACTTGTGTCTATCTTGTAACATGTACTATGCTTTCATGCCTCCTTCCACAAACCAAGATTTAGTTCTTTTAAACATGGTTTTAACTAAATCATATATAGGTTAGACTCGTGCTCCTTTAAGCTAGGGTCTATTTTTTCAATGGAATCTCATCTAACTAGGACATTTATTGTCCAAAATCAGACCTTAAAGTAAATAGTTTTGATAAAAGTGTTGGTTGTTTCATCTCATATCCTACAAATAAAGATATAATTTCAAAAATATGTTATTTAAAGAAGTAGTTTTTTAAGGATAGAAGATGTTACTTAGGTTGATTACTTGTTTTTTCAAATCATTTTTTAACTTTTTGTTGAATTTTGAGGGAATATGGTGAATACAGTGAACATAGGTTAGATATTCCAATCAAGATCTTAAGAATGTAAAGATGAAACTATTCCTATCACTTTGTTATCATGCATAGAATATTTTGAGGTGCAACATATGCCTTAGGAGTTGGAAGAATCATACCAATGTCTCTTTCGTCTCACCTTCAAAATCATAATGCAAGTGAAAATATGTTTCTATATATTGTCATCTTGTGTAGTTGCAACTAATAACGTAACATGATATTTTCCTATTACGAATGTGTCATCAACTTGAATAATTGGCTGACAATATTTGAAGTCTTCTATACATGGCTTAGATGATCAGAAAATATGCTCTAATATAAATGATGAATTATGCACATTATGTATTGAATAAGGAAAACAAACGTACTGACAATTGTTCCAATATTACTATCTTCAATAACTTGAAACCATATTGAAAGATTATTGTATGACTCTTCTCAGTCTCCAAATGTCACGACAAACACTTTTTGTTTTGTTGTTCATGCTTTTCTGTAAGTGACCGTGTAACCATGTGTGTCTTTTACTTCTATAATGAAAGTTTTGATAGGAATAAAGAGATTTATTTTAACTAATTCATAAATAATATTAGCAATGATGGTAGAGTCTATGTTTTAATGATTTGGATTTAACATTGTACTCAAACATGTATGAGATGCTTCAATTTCTTAATCTCGCATTGGTTATGAATTTTATTGAATAAAGTACGAACTTTCCATTGACACTATTGTAATAATTTATACAATTAGCAATATATTTGTCAGCTTTAGACTCAACAAAAAATATGTATCCATCTTCAATATGAAATTGTTTGATTGCACTTATTGTTATCTATTTGACAAAAAAATACCGACCTTTCCATATGTTGCTGTGAATTATATCTATTAATTGATTAGACGATTGTCCATCATATAGCAGGATATCATCTTTCACATACATTGAACCAGATGAAAAATTATTTTCTTCTTTATGACTAAAGTCTTTGACAATATCTTGAATAACTAGTTTGTCAATTGTCATCAATGAGTTACCAACTTAAATTTTGTTCATCTAATCGATAAAAAAAGTAATTAGAAATAAGATTAACATATATTTAGTTAAATAAATTGATGATAAATAAGTAATTAAAAATAAAATTAGTTGATATTAATTAAATCAACTAAAAATAACATATTTACCTTCTAAAATTGATTTTCAATAACTTAATCATAATCAACTTCTAATCTCCTCAAACTATAGACAACAAAAAGAAAATTGAATAATTTATGGTTGAAATTCATCCAAAACTATCCAAACAGTTATATAGTTGTGTTATTCACTTTCATATTCGTGTAGTAATATTATTCACAATCTCATCTCAAGTTAATACATAACCTGCATATCTACTCGTAGCATGTTATTCACAATTGGCTCAGTGTAAAACATGTAATAAACTTGTGGGAAAATAAAACTACACCTAATATCATGCAAGGAATAACGAGTTTTTTGTAAGTTTTAGAACTACTAAAATCGAGCCAGCAAAAATGTCTTTAGTAGAAATAAAATCATGCCACAAACCACGATTTCCCCAAACTCTTGCAACCAAGTGTGATTTTACCAAACTTGTGCAAGGAAGTACAATTTCAATGACAACTAAAATTGTGCTTCCAAACATGATTTCAAGTACAACTACCCTTCCAAGCTTTGGCTTAATGTGCAATGGTGCTTTGCTCAGTATGTAGTGCTCAGATGATGCAATGATCTTAATCAAATGAGCGTCGACAGTCTTTATTCAAAATTCAAATTGAACGGACATATGTGACCTATTCAAAAGTATGATGTTGTACCTATAAATATAGGGACAAGATTCAACTAATTTCATCCTTCTCTTTTCCTTATTTAGCTTATTGTACAATATTTTTCTCGAGCATTTTGATAAGCATTTGGTATAGTATTTTTCTCACTCATTTTGATAAACATTTTTTGTTTAATTTTCTTTTTTTTATTTATTTATATATATGGTCCTTAATTTATGTTTCTTTTGTTTTATATGTTATATTTTTTTTCTTGTTTTGTGTCTCTTTAATTTTTATATTACTTTTTTCTCTTTGATTTAATTTTTTGTCTATGTCGTTTTTTTCTTTATATATATAGTCTTTAAAGGGTATTTCCTTTATTTTAGGTATACTTTTTTTTCTTGTATTTTTTTATGTCTCTTTAATTTTTGTAGTATTTTTATTTCTCTTTCATTTAAATATTTTGTCTTTTATTTACATATTCTGTGTTTTTTTTTATTTATGTCTATTCATTTATATATATATATATATATATATATATATATATATATATATATTAATTGTCATTAAAGAGTGTTTTCTTTATTTTAGATATAATATTTTTTTCTTATGTTTTTTTATGTCTTTTAATTTTTGTATTATTTTTATTTCTCTTTTATTTAACTTTTTGCCTTTTATTTACATATGTTATTCTTTTTAATTTTATTTTTATCTATTTATTTATATATACAGTCTTTAATTTAAGTTTCCTTATTTTAGATTTTTTTTTTGCATTTTTTATGTCCCTTTAATTTTATTTACATATACTATTTCTTTCTTTTATATTTATGTCTCTTTTATTTGTGTTTTTTTAATTATGAATGGCAAAAATGATATCCCACCTTTGTTATCTTCTTTCATATACATCTTTGTTACATCTCTAGGGCAAACATGTAACAAAAATATTATGGGAAGAGAAGAGAATGAAAGATTATTTGATCCTAGACGACATAATATGTGGATAACAAAACAAACATTATGCTAGATGATCGTGTAAAAATTTGATATAGCAAGCAGGATTTGAACAAATGCCGATTATTGCAATATACTACAAGAAATACTGGAAATACCGATTGTCAAAATTCCGTCAGTAAATATTACCGACGGATTTAAATAGTCCATCGGTAAATGTTATACAAAATTACCACCAGACAGAAATTCATCAAAAATATTTTTATTATTTAATGCATTTTTTTAGAGATCCCCTCCCCTTTATATATTTATATGTTCATATATTTATATATTTATATATTTTGATATATTTATATAGGAATTAACTTTTTTTTTAATGAAACCAATCAAGTGAGGGATTGAACAATGATGTGATGTTTTTTTTTAATTATAACAATAAAATAAATAAATAAATAAAATATATTAAAAATAAATAAATTATTTTATTTTTTTATTCTCATTCTCATTTTTATTTACAATTCAAATAATTACTTTTCTTTTTACTTTTAAAATATACTCTCAATCATAATTTTTTTTCACTTCTCTCTATCTTCCAATTCAACCAATTCTATTTCTATCTCTTTTTTTTCCTTTCCTACTCCCTTAATTTCACCGCTCAATCCCAACAAAACTTAATAAACTTTTTTAACTATTTTTTTGTATTAAAGAAAACTATTAAAATTAAAAAAAGTTAGCTAATAAATATGTTGATATTAGCGTTAACATAGGATAGGTTTATCTTAACATTGTTATTATTTTTGTATTAATATTTATAATATCTTTTTGATTATATATAGCTTAAATTCGCTTTTTTATAAGTCTATTAATCTAATACAAGACAACAACTGATTAAGTTAAAAAAAAAAAACACGCTCTGGAACCTACGAACACTGATTTTATTGCATTAAAGTAAATAAGCTAGCACGATCAGTTCTCTTTTTGGGCATAAATAACCAACCGCAAGTGAATTCTTAATCAATATTGCATAATAATAAAATGAATGGTTTAAAAATTGATCAGAATTGTTATATATATATATATATATATATATATATATATATATATATATATATATATATTAATTTTAAATAATTTTTTCTAATTTTAAACAGCTCTTGATATTTTTATATAAAATATTCGTCACAAAAATATAATCCCAATAGCTGATGCCACTGCAACATTTGAGTGTTTTATTAACAACATGCATACAATGTTTTCAGGCACATATATGCAACCAAATATCATGTCAAGCTTGCACAGTTTGCAGAAAAAATTTTCCAAGGCATTAAGTCAAAAGCGTTGGAAAGACGAAAATAATGAAGTACATGATCGAATCATGAAATGAAGACAAACCCTGCTATTAATTAGATGTCCAGCTCAAAACACCTCGTCGTCAACTCTACTGGCTGCGTAGTGACCCAAGTTTCGGCCCTGTAGTTTACCGGTATAAAGAAAATGAAGAGAAACAAATTCAGTACGGTATCTGATGCATTATCGTAGCCCCATTATATTTAAGATGACTACATAAATGGTAAGGCATGCATGATTATACTAACAGCCGCATTTGAAACTACGACCAAAGTTGGAAACCACTTAAAAAAAAAAACACAAATAAACTATTGACACAAAAATGTGTCCAGAGAATTTAGTTTCTGTAATAAACAGTCTAGACAAATAGATTGAATAAATTAGTTTGTAACAAAGAAATTGAATGCTCTTATTGAGTCAGTTAACAGAATGTCACGCCTCAGAAATCCTCCACATTGAAGAGGGAGCCTTGGCTCGCTCCAACTGAGGAAGGTAGCCCATGTTATTCACATGGTACAAGCATGCAATAAGTCACACACTGTTTCTTGCAGCAAAAATTATCATGGTTGGTCCGGTAATTTCATATGGTATTCAAAGTAACCCACTCTTAACCATGCACTTTAAACAGGAAACTAAGACTTAATGATCGTTACAAGGCAAGAATACCAACCTCAGATAACAACCTTTGCTTATTAAGTAATTGTGTCCTAGCCTTGTTCTGAACTGAATTTGGAGACTTGAACATTCTCTGCATGAGGGACAATGATGAGGAAAAAGAAAAAAAAAAAGTACACAAAATGTGAGAGTAGCAAACAGACAAGAGGACCTGCAGTAACAAAAACACATGACAGTAAACACAACTGGTCAATAGAAACCAACCTTTTCACCGCTAGACATCCGATGTTCATTGTTATTAAGATATCTTCTCTTTGGCGTGAAATTAAATACATCTTGAAGGAACTCGTTTTTCTAATTTGCCAAGGGAGAAGGGGGAAATAAAATCAAACGCAAATAATAAGAATTTCGGCAAAATTAAAATGTTATTGATGAAATGCTAGGAGAAAGCCAACCTGCATATGCTTGATGAACCCTCCCCCTAAAAAGTGCTTGAGAAAGTTCAACTGCAATAAATGTATGTTAAAATTTAACACAGAAAAGGAAAGATGTGTCAGAAAACACAGACGAATGAAGAGGATAAAAAAACCTGTATCATTTGGGACCATGAAGATGTACGCAGTGATTCACCACCAATTTTCATCGAAATTTCAGGTGAGTAACCATACTAGTAACACGGTATTAAAGTAAGTCAGTATTGAAGCATGTGTTCTACTAAAAAAGGGTTACCTAGTTCACAAGACTCCCAAAAAGTGAAGTTTGGGAAGGGTACAAGACTCCCAAAAAGTGATGTTTGGGAAGGGTAGATGTACACAGCCCTACAACCGGAGAGACTGTTTACAGGATTTGAACCCATGATCTTTTAGGTCACAAGGTAGCATCCATTTCTTAGAGTATAAATTACAATAAATTAGAAAGCCAACTCAAGTACCTCAAAAAACTCCACAATATCTCGGAACAAGTTCCTCTGATTGTTAAGATCTTTCTTAGCAGAACCTTTTCCACCAGACTCAACAGAAAGGTTTTTGACTTGATTGATAACCTTCCTTTTCAATCCTTGTAAGTGGGTGTTACTTTCCCGCAGATTAATCTCTTCTTGAGTCATTTCAGATGCACCTTTAGAATCAGCAGAAAATTTCTCTATAATTCCATTCTCAAAGATTAAAGCCAGTGCTTCGCCAGCAGCAATTCGCACAGACCGGTCTTCCTTGTCTAAAAGACTTGATAAATAAGATATCGAACTACATTAACAACAAAATCAATTATTTCGATCCCAGGCCAAACAAGCATAGAACACGGTCAGGATTTTAAATATTTAATTCAATTGAAGTTTTGAATCTGAGCTTGGAATTGAATATGTTATGTTATGGGAGCCCTATTAGAATTAGAATCATATCTCATATGACAATTCCTAGAAATACAAGATGACTTACTGAGGCCCTTTCCGATTCTTATTGCAACTTTGAATACGTGTTTTAATAATGGGGAATCACATTTAAGGTTCTGAATGTGTTAAGAAATTGGTTAACAAAATTGATTCTTGAACAAAACCACGGTTTTGTTGCCACATTGCCAAAACAATATTTTTGTTGCGAAGGAAAACTCTGTTCAATATGTATGGACAAAAATATCATCATGCTTAAATATTCTGTCATTACTTTAAAACAATATTTATGTGCACATATTAATTATTACACATGACAAGTGATTTTGATCGACACTATCTAAACAACATTCAATGTATTAAATTATTTTTCACCTCAATGTTTCCAAACATAAATCAATTACCACAAACACACTTCTCACTAGAATCAAATTTGTAAAATCAAGTTTTCCCAAAATCAATTTTGCTAACTCTAATCCAAATCACCACCCTTAAAAATTGTCAATTCAACATGCAGAAAATGAAATTAAGACTGTGCTCAATCCCAAAAAAAATAAAATAAATAAAATAAATCTTACACCTTGCTTCTAAAATAATTATTATAAAATCAATAAATGTATCATATACGGCCATCATCCATTGGATGACAATGTAATTGTGTAAAATACCTTTTACACCGTCAAACTTAGAATTTTAATTTGACTATGTACACAACCCAAACATAAATCAATTACTACAAACCACAAACACACTTCTCACTAGAATCAAATTTGTAAAATCAAGTTTTTCCAAAATCAATTTGCTAACTCTAATCCAAATCACCACCCTTAAAAATTGTCAATTCAACATGCAGAAAATGAAATTAAAACTGTGCTCAACCCAAAAAACAAAAAAACACAAAGCATCTTACACCTTACTTCTAAAATAATTATTATAAAAGTCAATAAATGTACCATATAAGGCCATCATCCATTGGATCACAGTGAAATTGTGTAAAATGCCTTTTACGCCATCAAACTTATAATTTTAATTTTACTAAGTACACAACCCAAACATAGAATTTATTATTTAGAACCAACTCCAGTATTGATAACATTGAAATCAAAATTAAAGTTCCAAACAAAAAATTAAATAACATTATCTAACCTGAAACTTAATATATCTTTAATTTTTGTAATTCTTTTAACATTTTCCTTGCCCTCAGTTTGCATTTTATTCCAAGTTGCATGGGAGAAAAATTATAAGAATTCATTACCCTTCACAACACAATTTCATCCTCCTCATTCGCACTTCCACTTCCACTCAAAATCTTCTGGTGTTCAAATCCTACACACCGGCTTTTAATGACAAACAGGTCCAAAAAATTTTAGATTGTCAAACTTCCTATCGACTATAAAAATGGATGCACACAGGCTCTTTCTTCTCATTCCAAATAGCAAAGAAGGAATGAGTCAACAACTAGGTGACCCTAGTCAGAAGTCTTGAATGCACATCTGAAATGCAGTCAAGGTTGGGAGTGTAGAAGGGAAAATACAACTAATTGCAGTTCCAGATCATCTGTATAATTTAGCAAACTAAAGCCACCGAGGTGCAAGTAATGCACGTTTGCACAATACATAAAGCTAGTACAGGATTAAATGATACTGCATACACAGTGTTTAGCAGTTTTTATTATCTAAGGTGAAAAGTCAAGAGTCAGTAGTTATGTTTTATGACTGTGATTTGTATATCATTAACAGAATTTAAGGCTTGGAACTAAAAGCTCAAATTCCAGTCTATAAATTCACAGTTGTATTATTGTTGAAATGTGAGTTAAAGAAATAAATAATTTGACAAGGCAGTGCGAACAAGAAGTGGTGATTGGTGCAATTAAATACAATAACACATGGGAGTTGACGGATTTGCTGAGTAGTAGTCAGCTCATTGGTGTGAAGTGGATGTTCACGAAAAATATGAATGCTCAAGATAGAACACTACAAGGCAAGACTTGATGCAAAGGGGTATAAGCAAAATGAAGGAATTGATTATGACTAGGTGTTTGCGCCGGTTATGAGAATGTATTTGGTTTCTTATTTCACAAGCAACTCAGTTTAAATGACTGATATTACAAATGGATGTGAAGTTGACATTTTTAATGAAGTACTCGAAAAGGAGGTGTGTGTTGAACAACCACCCAGGTACATAAAAAGAGGAGAAGAGAATAAGGTGTTGAGATTGAAGAAGACCCTTTATAGGTTGAAGCAAGCACTCCACGCATGTAATACTCGGATTGATACATACTTCAAGGAGAACAGGTATGAACAGTATCCCCATGAACATGCCCTTTATGTAAAGTAGAGAAGTAATATATTGTTTGTTGTTCTTTATGGCTAGAGAGTTTGAGATGACAAACTTGAGTTTGATGAAGTTTTTCCTCGATTTAGAAGTCAGACAAAGTGAGACAAAAAATTTTATGTCTCGAGACATATGAAAAGAAAATTTCGATGTACAAGATAACAAATTGTAATCTAGTGTCTACACCAATGGAACCAAGTATAAAACTTTCAAAATTTGATGGGGGAGATTGAGTTGATGTTATAAATATCGAAGCTTAGTGAGAAGTCTTCGCTAACTCACGTGCACAAGACCAAATCTTTTGTTGAGTGTTGATGTTGTAAGTTGGTTCATGGAGGAGCTGAGCTATTCTCATTGGAAGGCATTGAAACAAATATTACGGTATGTTCGAGGAACAGTATCACTCAGCTTGTTCTATTCAAGGTCGAAAATTACAAGTTGGTCGGATACTTGAATAGCGACCAGCATGGAGACCTAGATGATCTGAAAAGCATATAGGGATACATGTTTTTTTTTTATTTTAATGGGTAACACAACTTTTACATAACTTTCAAAAAAGCAACCAATTGTAACACTCTCAACATGTGAAGCTAAATGTGGCATCATCTTAGTGTGTATGTCATGCAGTATGACTTAGAAATCTATCGAGCACGTTGGAGCAACAACTCCTCGATGATACTGCGATACAAGTTGACAACAGGTTGGTCATAGAGTTGCCAAAGAATCTAGTTAATCGTGAAAGGAACAAACACATTGATGTTCGTTTTCATTTCATCCGAACACATGTGAAAGAAGGAAATGTGGAGTTAGTGCATGTGACAAGTCGAGATCAAGTTGCAAATATATTCACAAAGCCACCACCAACAATATTTTTTAATAATTGTAAGAAGTTGTAAGAAGTTTATCAGCACGAAAGATGACAAAAGCATTTAAGTTGGGATTATTGAATAAACTTAAATGTTAGTTTCAGTGTTTTAATTTAGCAGTTTTTATTGTCAAGTAGTTAGGTCTTATATCAGGATTTAGGGCTTGGAACTAAAAGGTTAAATTCCAGTCTATAAATTCACAGTTGTATTCTTGTTGAAATGTGAGTGAAAGAAATAAAGAATTAGAAGAAACTGTTTTTCTCACACAAAAGATGATAGCTTACTTTTGCCAATTTTTAGAATTTAGCTTCAACTTGCGCATTGAAGATAAGAGAAAGGACCAAGAAGATACCGCAGCAGTTATTAATGGAGCAGAAGGTTTGGCTGCAACTACCTAAACAATGAAATATCTAAAGCGGTGAATTTAAGGTAGAAAAGTTAAGAGCACTAATGTAGAAATTATTAATAAAAAGGCATAACACTTCAGATTGATAAGCCAAATAGAAATAAAACTAACAAATATATTTGAAACAGAGGCCTACATTGGAACCTAATCTGGGATGAATCACCCGCCACAGTACATCCATTGATCTCTCTGTTTCCTCTTGATCACTCCCACCAACAAAAGTGATTATAGCCAAGCATTCCAACAACTGTAAAATTAAATGGCATTGAAGAGAGAAGATTCAGAATGACTGTCCCCAATGAATCATAAGTGACATTGAGTACCCAAGACTTTCCAAAGTATCCAAACTCCTACTTACTGTTAAAATTCATGAGAAAGTAAAACATGAGAAAGTGAGAAAGTTGAGAGTATTGTGAAATCTTAGGTATTTTGATATCTAACCACTGAGAGCTTGTCCAGAGTTTATATATACTTCTAGAATCAGTTGAAACTGTAATGATTAGTTACAACTGATTAGAAACAGAAACACAGCAGAAAACTGACTTCTGAAAGCCTAATGGGCTTGGCCTTCATGGTCCCAATTTACAATAGAGAACAACAACTATAATAACAACAAAGTAATCTATATCTCGGTCATACTTACTGAAGGATTTTTTGTCAAATCTGATTTAGATGTGAGAAACTCATCTAGAGTATGAGTTGTTTCCTCAAATATTTCCCGTGCTTGATTATCACCACATCCAACAGTCAGGGACAACAAACCTACAAAATAATCGAATTACGTATTTAATTATATGAATGTAGCATAAAGTATTCATAAGATTTGTATAATCCAAATCTTACCAATGGCCTGTGATGCCAAAGCTATTTCCTTTGCAGATGCCTTTTTGGATCCCTTTTTTATTGAAGCAAGACACTGATGTAATAAAGTAGCAAATCTAGAAAAACCCTCAAGGTTATAAACATCATATTTATTCAGATAAATAAACAGATGGGTAAAATATAACATCTCTGTAATTAGACATGAATAACATTTTACATAGATACTATCCAGTAACCATCCTATTGAAAGATAAAAACATAGATGAGAAACATATAACATTTTTCTTCAGATTAATATAGTTTTGCACACAAACCAGCCAGTGGACAAGGTAAGTATATTAGAAATAATGTTAGGATTTAGGAACACAGCATAAATGAGCGTATTGAAGGCACCAGTATCATTACTAGACTGAATGACTGAAATTAATTGATAACATGGTTGAGTTTGATAAGACTAAAACACTGGAATTTCTAGACTTAGAAGTCTACAGAAAATTTAAGCACCAAACGATACTATTTTTCCTTTAATGTTTGGTCATTCAATTCAGGACAGATACATCAAACTGAGTACTCACTTTTTCACTCAATTTCATTATTGGCAAGAAACAAACAGAGGTGGGGCAATCGAAACTCAATTTACCTAGTCATACTCTACACTAAATACTTTTCATCGCAACTTCTTAAACTATGTCAACTACATTAAAATTTATTAATGAAAATAAATTAATTAGTTAAGGAAAATGTAGATTTGGAAGTTACAATTAAAAGTGGCCAGTATGAGATGTGAATAGCCAAATGAAAGTGACAATAGCCACACCCATTAAAGCTAAATCAATTTCAGCTTTCAGAACGTAATTGAGCTTCTAGACTGCCCCAGGTTGACTTCTTCTTTGCTATGCAATCTCTTATAAAGAAGATTTAAGTTTCAGTCAATCTTACAAATTCGACTTGTAAAATATGATTTACACCAATTTATATACTCTATTTTAACAATATTTCTAGATGGTGTGGGATCTCCAACACCATCAAAAAATAGTTTAACTCGGTAATTCCTCTTAAGGCCAAATGGTTAGCTTGCACAAAGCACAAAGTACATGTCTCAATTTATATATATATATATATTGTTAGTAAGTTGTAACACATACTATGCAATTAAGTAGCAGATGATACAATAGAAATAATAAGCACACAGTTGAATAACAGGAAACTCGATAGATGCTTACTTCTTATCCACAAACTCATCCTGCATGTTGCTACTGAATGCCCCAACTATCACCGACAATGCTGTCTCCCTCGTGGAGCCCCTTTATTTCCAAAAAAATGAAAAAAATTTATACGTGCATTGATTGGGTAAAAATCTTTCACACCACAATTCATCACGAAAACCATCATGTGCAGTAAGTTCGTTGAATTTAATAATAAATAATTACTTTAAAAATCATGTTAATGAAGATTTCTGTTGGTTGATAGTTTACTCATAAAGTAAAACTTGTTACAACTTTAGAATTGGAATTTGCAAAGGAAAACCCTAATGCAAATACCTTTTCTCATCCAAGGCATCGAGAGCTTGATCGAGTAGAGCGTCTTGATCGAAGTGCACTTCTTCGTTCCCTGAGACGGAGACGTGATCAGCTCGGGAAGTTGACGACGAACTCACACTACTACTATCATCGTCGCTATCCAACATTGCAGCATTTTTACGTTGAGAATTACCTATTCATACATAACCAAAAACACAACACAAAAACAACCAACAACTTCGTTCAATTCAAACTCCATCATTCATTCACCTCAACGTCATAATAATAGTACTTAACATTCTCATATTAATAGTTAGTTAATTAATAAGAAAATTCAATTTATACGTGATGGATCCGATAATTAAGAAGAAGAATAAACCCTAGGAAATGAAATATAACAGTATATGGTTCAAAGTTCTTACGCTTTCCCATAACGGTAACGGCTCCTACGCTGTTGTGTTAGGTACAGAGCTTCAGAAAGTGGTAGGAGATGGAATGGAAATGCGACGGAAAAGTGTGAAGTGGAGGGAATCGAGAGGAACGGAATTGGGTGAGGAGTATGAGAGGAATAGGTAGAATGGCGAATAGTAAGCCATGAAAAGAAACTGGAGGACTCTGATTCAGCACACAAAAAAAACAAAAGAGAGGTGGTTTGTTTTACTTGTGATGAGAAAAGTGAAGAAAAGTGTGTGGTGCGGTGAAATCTTGAAAGGGAATTATCATTTGGGTGTTGTGGAATATTCCGAATGTGGTGTACCCCATACTCTCTACTGTGGAGTGCTTGCGTGGCATATCACAGACCGTTGACTCAATTAACTTTGTCCAGCTAATTTTATCTATAATTATAATTTTTTATTTAATTACACACGTAATTATCAGTATTTTATTGTTTTATGTTTTTATTTTATTTTTCTTAGTTAACATGGTATTTCGTATATAATAAATAAATGATAAATAAAATAACAATAGACATGATAAAAATGTATGATTATTCTTTTTTTTAGTGAAACAATTTGAAAGAAATGTAACAAAACTATTCTTACATAGATATAAACACACTTATATATATTTAGGATTCAATCATGAAACCTTCCTTGGAAGGTTGCTTGAGGAACATGTTTATTTATTAAAGGAGGGTTAGTTGAATTCATTAATCTAAATATCTTGAATGGGTACTAACTTTTTGTCTTCATTAAACGACTTATTTTAAGATAGAACCCACATGTAGATATTAAAACTTAAAAACAAGTTTAGCAGGTGATTAGGTGTGTGTGCTTGTCTCATGTTGAGAGGAGGGGTAATTTTATTCTCAAACAAGAATTATTCTTACTTTTTAAGCGAGCCAGAACATCTCCTGTAACACACACACACACACACACACAAAAAAAAAAAAAAAAAAAATAATAATAATAATAATAATAATAATGTAAGATGGTTGAAGTTAATGTTTAATACTGATAATTTTTTTTATAATCAAGAAATACAATTTCTTCTCAATCAATTTATTTTTAAAGAGCAGTGATAAATTGATAATTAATTATAAAATATTAATATACTAATAATACTCCATTGTTATAATAATAAATTGAGTGGTTAATATAACTACTTAAATAAAATTGATATAAACATGTATGTTCTTTATATTTAATACGTTAATATTAAAAATTGATGAGTTAAGTTGAAATAAGAATAAGATTTAATTAATGAAATAAGAAAAAATAGTTAAAAAATGAAATATATTAATACTAAGAAATAGGAAAATATAAGAAGTTAAATAACACAAGAAATGAATTATAAAATTAATTTAATATATTTCAGTGGTAGAAGTTTTGTGATCTTCTTATGTTGCGTTCAGTTTTAAATGTTACCCAGGGATAGTCTATGTTGTGTTGGTGCAACATGTGATTGAACATTTGCATGATTATTATTATTATCTTCTTCTTCTTTTTTATTTGGATTCTAAGTAGATATTTGCGTAAGCAATATTGTTTGATAATAATACACGAATCCAGATTATATGTTATCAATGACATTATGTGGGTGACAAATATATTTTATCCCGAAGGAAGCATGTTAAAGAACATGTTTTTCAAAATTACTTTTTCATAGACAATGTTCTCTAAAACAACTTACTTAAATTTTGAAAATAATCCAAATGTAAAATGAGAGAAGACGCACTACAAGAAAATCGCGTATTACCGACGGATATTTACCGACGGATTTGTAGCCGTCGAAAAATAATCATTACTGACGGAAATTACCGACGGATATAAAATATTTGTGAAATTTGATGTTACCGACGGATATATCCGTCGGTAAAATAATAATTAGTTACCGACGGATATATCCGTCGATAAATCCGTTGGTAATTTATATATGAATTTACCGATGGATATATCCGTCTGTAAATTCGTCGATAAATTAACAATTAATTACCGACTGATATATCCGCTTGTAAATTCATATGTAAATTAAAAATTATTTACTGACGGATATATCCGTCTGTAAAATTATATAATATAATTTAATTATTCACTAATTAAAAAATAAAATATTTTTTATTTAATAATTTAATTTAATCATAATTAGATTAATTTATAATAATTTATTAAATTAAGTAATTTTAAAAATAAATATTTAATTATATATAAATATATAAAAATATATAAATATAAAAATATATAAAATAAATAAATATATAAATATATAAAAATATAAAAATATAAAAATATATAAATATATAAATATATAAATATATAAATATATAAATATATAAATATATAAAAATATATATAAATATATAAAAATATATAAAAATATATAAAAATATATATAAATATATAAAAATATATATAAATATATATAAATATATAAAAATATATATAAATATATATAAATATATAAAAATATATATAAATATATATATATATATATAAATATATATAAATATATATAAATATATAAAAATATATATATAAATATATAAAAATATATATAAATATATAAAAATATATAAAAATATATATAAATATATATATAAATATATAAAAATATATATAAATATATATATAAATATATAAAAATATATATAAATATATATAAATATATATAAATGTATTTGTATATTTGTATATAAATATAATTTATTTGTAAATTGTTATCAAAAAATTCTAAGTAGTCTTAGTGGTTGGAGTATCAGCCTTTGACTCTAAGGTATCGGGTTCAAATCCTCGCCAATGACATTTCTCTTAATCTGACAATAATTCAAAGCTATAAAAATATAATATGGAGAAATAATTAGTAATAAATAATAATAATTACCGACGGATTTTTGTTATTACCGACGGATTTTGACCGCTCGGTAATTTTAATATTTCTTGTAGTGACTGAAAACTAGATTTAACAACTTGTTGATAATTAGATTAATCAATAAGTTGGTTGTGATATTTAGTTTTGTTATTATTTAGTTGATGTTTGATACTAATGAAACAAAATGTGTAAAATTAATATTTGTTGAAAAAAATACGAATAATTGAAATAAATAATATTTTATACTTATTCATCATTTGTATTTTGTACTTGTTATGTGGAAATGTATCATATAGGACGTTGAAAATACTATTACATGTATTATCTATTTTCACACAAATGTATATTTTGTTGGAACTACTTACCTTTAATTAGACAATTATGTAGCTCATTTCATAATGAAATCTTTACTTGTTCTTACTAAAATCTTTGAACATTGTGTGAAGACTAAATCCTATTATTAATTGATTAAATATTTATTCTAAGCATATTTTTGAAAAATAATTGATAGTTCAATTCACCCCCTTTTAAACTTAGTTCCTTTATTTTAATAGGCATTATTGATGGTTTGCCCTATTATCATGAGAGATGCGCATAAGGATGGGTAGTGTTATTAGTAATTCTACTTTATAGGTAATGAGAAACATGATCCACTCGATGAAGGATCATCTAGGAAGACACACATTGGGCCCTTAACAAGATCTATGGCTAATAGGATAGAAGAAGAAGAAGCTTCAAAGATGACTCTCCTAGATTAGAGCATACACTATTAGGGTTATTTTGTTGTCTTCTTAGTATTGTAAAAATTGTATAGAATTTTATTTTGTCATATAATTTTAGAAATTTGTAGAGTACATGTGGGCTAAACATTGGGCCTCAATTAGGCTTATCGTCGGTGTTCTTACACAAAAAAATATTTAAAATTAGTAAAACTTTCTCTGAAGATAATCACGATCTAGATTGAGAAAACTTTTGTGATCACGATTTGTCTTGGTCAAGCTTTGCCTAGTACTAGAACTAGAGGGGGTATGCCCTGCAACGACACTTTAAAGCTTTAGTCAACAAGATAACTAAGTTATGGATATTCACATAACAATTTTGTATATTAAAAAAGGCCTCCTCACAAGAATGTTCTAGAATCTTAAATCACTACAAGAAAAATTGATATTATCTACTGTCCAAATTTGTAGGTATTACAAACAATTTGTAGGTATGGAGATATTTCCTACAAATTTTTTACGGACAAAATTCCGTAAGTAATGTTAGCTACGAATTTTTAAATCCATAGGTAACAACTATGGATTTTTAAATTCGTAGGTAATTTCATACTGCATTATTCATAGGTATCGCCGCCATCAAAAGAGGCGGTCAGAGCGACGCGATGGTTTCGACTTTCCGTTTTTTCACGTTTTTTTATGGGTGAGGTTACAACGCTTTTAGGTTGTCCGATAACCGGGCTGAACCTAAGGACGAGGTTTTCAAAAGGGTGTTCTTAGATCGTCCGATAACCGGGCTGACCTAAGAACAAATTTGAAGGGGTTCTTATGGAGTCGTCACCGATGTTTTTATCAGAAACATCGAAAAAGGGGAGAAAAAGGCATTGGTTTCTTAGAAAAACCAACTTCGGTCGTTAAAACCAGAGTTGGGTAAGGGAGTTAATTATGTGTAAAAGAGGTATTAACTCCCTTACGACGCCCCTTTTGGGTTCCCTATGACAGACCAATTATTCTATAAATAAACTTTTGAAATGACGTTTTTACCCTTTTATTTGCACAATTAAAATAATGACTACATGACCCTAGTAGCTATTGCACAATTTAATATAGGTAAAAAAAGACAATAAAAGAGAGAGAGAGAGAGAGTGAAGAAACCTCCAGAGCAAGCTTTGATTGATTCTCATAAAAAATAGGGTGCATTTTGGCAGCCCTTCACTCTTACAACGTCGAATTCTCTCTCGAAAACACTATAAAAGCTCTCTTAAAACACTCAGAAACTCCAGAAATGCTTTGGAGGGGCTCTAAAAGAAGAATTTTGAGAAATTGTAGAAGGAAAGGTGGAAGAGTTGTCTGAAATGAAGGGGAGAGCGCTCCCTATTTATAGGGATTCGCGCCTGTCAGGTCGAGACCGCCGTCTCACCTGGCAAGGTCAAGACGGCAGTCTCGACTTTGACAAATGGTGAGACCGTCGTCTCGTTTGGCGAGACGGCGGTATCAACTTTCCAAATGGCGAGAGGGTCGTCTCGCCAAACGGGAGGGGGGTCTCGCCAATGGTAAGTGGCGAGACGGCCGTCTCACCAAATGAGAAGGCGGTCTCGACTTGTCATTGGTCGAGACGACGGTCCCGAAAAGCGAGACGGCAGTCTTGACCCCTAAAGGTGGAAATCCTTATTTTTTTGTGCAAAAAAGTCTTTCTACTCTAATATGAGGCCTAATAGCCTCTCCTAGTCGCTTTTTAGGCTTTGTCCATCTTCGAATAGGAGTTCTTCTGTTCTTTATTTTGAGGTCAGGCAAGATTTGGGGTCTACAATAGGAATTGTCTATGAAAAATTACATGTAGATACATCAGTAGATAATTAGGTATGAATATATTCATAGGTATTTACCTGCTGAAATATCCTTAGGTATTATCGACTGATATATCAGTAGGTAATTATGTATATATACTCGTATATAATTACCTACTGATATATATTTGTGTGTACCTATTAATATTTTTGTAGGTATTGACATACGTCCAATAAAGGTTTATCTACATTTTTGTTTACAAAATTTCAACTAGATTTTAATATTCATATATTCAATCATGTATTATATAAATATTCATATATATATATATATATATATATATATATATATAATAACAAGTTTTCAACACAAGCTTAAAACATGATTTTAAAAAAACTAGTTAATAAACTAAGACCATAATAAAAGTCATTTATGTAAACAACAAAATTAAATCTTAAACAAAGTCCATAATAAAAATTATAAGATATCTAATAGTCCATATATTCATCTCCTTTACGAGAATTATTTTGTTATTGAAATC